CTGAAAGCCGCGATCGAGGTTGTGCCCGGCGGCCCGACGTAACCGTGACAGGCGCTGTCACGGACCGCTCCCGTTTCCGGCGTTGCTGGAAGCGCACTTTGGTGTCTGTGGAAGGTTGTACCGAGTGTTCGCGCTCGCTGTCGGGCTGTGCCAAAGCCTCTGCGCCGTGTCTCGTTTCAGCACAGCAATGAGGAGGCGAGCAGAAGCCCTGCGTGTAGTTTAGGGGGTGAAGCGTGGCCGGCTGCCTAACCGCTGCACACAGAGCTGCGGTGTAACAGCGTGCCACGAAGATCTGCCTTGAGACTGCAAAAATGAGCGTACAAGAGTCAACGTTGTGCTAACTTTGGTGGAGAATGACCTTTTGGTTTTGGGCTCTATCCATTTAAATAACAAACGTTCTACTTTATGCGTGTATTTAGTTACTGCTGTAATTGTGGGTAGGGGTAGAGAATCATGTAAATCCTGACTCACGTGCCCCACCCTGGTAAAGAATTCCTGAAGTGGAAAAACAACTGTAAAATACTTGTTCTTTGGTGAACTTCCCAGTCCTTCTGACAAGAAATCCTAATCAACAGGTACAATCTTGGCTGTGTGTTTTTGTTGTTGTGGGTTGTTTTGTTTGTTTTGTTTTGTTTTTCTTCTCCACCTTGGCCTGAAAAAGGATCCACGTGCCTCTGAATAGAAACTCTCTGGATTTCTCCTGGAAGTATCCAGTACAGCCACCTTTCCAGTAGTATGTGTTCTTTATGAACTCAAGCAAGGCATGATCTCCTGCTCGTTCAAGTGTAGACCTGTCTGCAAAGTGCTGCATAAGCCTACCCTGACAAGCAAAAACATAAGCAAAGTTAAACAGCTTGATATTTCTAAATCAAAATAGTATACGTTCCACTCTTAATTTCTATTTGTTTCCCAAATCTTGATCTGTATGAAAAATAAAAATATAAGCTGCTTTATTTTACCATTTTATTTCCATGAGAGGTAGGAGCTGTTTCTGTGAAAGAATGCTAGAGAGGTGTTCTCAATTAAGTGGACAGATATGGTATAAAGAATGGACTGGTTTTGTTTTTTTTCTTTACCTCTTGTACTGCTTTTTCAAAATTGAGAGCAAAGACTGTCTTGAAAGCTGGTTTTCCACCATGCCTGGTTGAAACGAGACATGTGAGATACCTCAGGATTGCTTCTGTGGTGTTCTGCCTGAGACAATAACAGTGAAGGCACCTAAACTCTCGCTACAGGGTACCAGGACTGTCAGTTCTTGGCAGATTCTTCAGCACTCGGTTGGCTGCTGTTAACCATCTCGTTCAAAGCAGTCTATAGAAGAGGGGGTGGCAGATTTTTTTTTATCTTGGTTTCTGCAGCTTTATGTCCCACATGAGATGTCTTGCAAGACAGACTTAATAGGTTTCATGATTAAAAAGTGTGGTTGTAGATATTCACTAATCATCCACTGCTAAAAGGAATCTTGGTAAATTAGGCTTGTGTAGAAGTTTCCCTGTGTCAGGATGGATTGTCAGCGGTCACTGAGAAAGGAGAAATAAATGGCTGGTTGGACTGTAACGTTTGCTTGTTTGACAGTCACATTTGTGCACAGAGTAGCAAGAACCTCTCCTTACAAAGCAGTGTTATGTTGTAACATAAACAAATATTTTTAAATGACAAAAGGGTCCCAGTGACAATAGAAGAATTCTGAGGCTTTCTCTGCCTTGATGCCCAGGCATTAAGAATACATTTTTCTTTTTCCCTTGCTCTGTAAACAGCAGAGGAGGGCTTTGCTTGCCCAGTGAGAACAGTGTATGTGTGCTGATACTTACAGGAGCAAAGAGAAATTCCTTCTTGAAGTTACAGTGATCTTTACAAGGATCCTGTGCAGGTGGATTCTTATCAAAGTAATCCGTCATTAACTCGCATCATTATGAAACGGTTGAAAAACGTTTATGGAGAAGCTTAAATTTAAGCTCGAGTGGCCTAGCAAGCTGATTTGGGAAGGAGAACTCTGTTAAATTAATTGCAATACCAAGTGATCAGTGAACACTTCTGACATGCTGGCTAGAGACTGTTTGAGATTCTATCACTGTACAAATTTTGTTTCTATAAAACGATGTTGCGTTTGGGTAGATGTCGCAAATGTCATCTACAAATATGTCCTGACTTGCCTCTGTGAGTGTGTGATTCAGAAATACTTGCTATAGCTAGGTGTTTTGGGAAATTTGTGCCTAGGAACTCTTTTTGTGTGAAGAACATACAACAGTGGAAAGGCAAAATAAGATTTTCTTTGGTGAAGCAAAAAGGTGTTGGATGAGAAGAGAGTTGTCGTCTCTCCATATATTTGTAATAAGGCTTGTACAAAAAAGTTACGTTTCTGTTTGGATTCTTCCTTTTTAGCAGATAATGGAAATCCGTGATTTCCTAAAGGAATATTTATTCCCTTCTTCCCTATTTTTTTTCTTTCTTCAAGTTGCTCCATACATTTTCAGTTACTGTTTTGTATTTTTCATCTGTATGTAACTGAATACAATGAAAGAATAAAATATTTATTGGTGACTTTGACACAGCCAGAAGATACATAAATTGCTCTTTGTTTTGTTTAGTACTGTAGCAGAGCAGTATCATGGTATATTGGGAAGAACTCCTTGTATCTCCTCTTAATTGGCTGGAGCCTAAGGATCTCTGATAGAATTCTTTTTCTAACATTTTTACCTGTATTAAAGGCAGGCTACAAATGAAAACATCTACAAATGTTTTCCTTTCATGAAAAATTGGACATAAAAGCAGAGAATGGTTTTGGCTGAAATCATGCCACTGTGCAGAAATGAGCTCCAGAAGAGGTATAGTATGGTCAGCAAAAAAAAAGGTAAATAATCCACAACTTAGAGTATGATGAGACTTTCATTAGTTGAATCCTTTTATGCCCTTAAATGGTTAATGGTAAAGCACAGATTGAAGCCTTTCTGTCATACCATAACACCGTGTCATCAAAACAGGAGTTCCATCTAGAAATTGAAACTTGGTAATTTGAGACCTAAACCAACGTTGTTACTATCACATTAAAACTGGAAGGACCTTTTCAAAATATGTATCTGTTAAAGTATAATTTTATTCTATGACTTTGACCAGCACATGTAGCTTTATATGTCTGTTCATCTTGCAGTACTTTTGACATCAAATGGCTTTTGGCAAGACATAAAAAGATGTATCTTTCCCTTTTTCTCTAAGATCTTAGTGGCTCCATAACAACTCCAGATGTTAAGCTAAATCTTGGAGGAGAATTCATCAAAGAATCTACTGCAACTACATTCCTAAGACAGAGAGGGTATGGCTGGCTTCTGGAAGTGGAAGATGATGACCCAGAAGATAACAAGCCACTCCTGTATGTCATAACTATTTTGGGGTATCTATGTTTATTAGGTGTGTAGGAAAAACAAACAACTTGTAGCCTCTCAGATTGTCTCACAGCTTTTGCTGTGCCTAGAATTCCATTTGACAAATTACTTGACCAATGAGTGTTTTCTGGTGCAGGAATGAAAACATTATGTTTCTCATTATGCGTTTTGTTTTTAGTGTTAAAGAGAGGCTTTTTATTCACTGTGGGGGAGGAAGAAAGGAGGAAGTAAAATCCAATTTTACTAATCTCTATAAGTATGAAGCTTTTATGGCATTTCTGATCTTATTTGTTGATCTTGTAATGGCTTAAAAAATTTGATTATATTCTATCTTTTGCACTGATGTGAATTTCTTAATGTTGTCAAAGAATCAGAGGCTAAAACAGCCCTGTGGAAAGATTCGTGTTGAGTAAATTCTGTCAGTTGCTCTGAAGTAAACGCATCGTGAATCATGCTTATTACAGTAGGGATACTTGTCGTGGGTCAGGCTGCTCCGGCAACCAAACCCTACACCGTTGCTCAGTCACCCTCCCCCACCCCCAGGGATGAGGGAGAGAATCAAAGAAGAAAAAGAAAAGAGACCCGTGGGTTGAGATAAGAACAATTTACTACTACTGCTGCCAATATATATGTGTATGGATATGTACAGGGATAAATATATACACACGAGTGATGTACAGTTAATTGCTCACCACCCCTTGACCGAGGCCCATTTCATCCCAAAGCTGCAATCCTGAAACAGATAAATCCTGATACCGCAATCCTGGATGAACGGGAGGCCTGAAATAGAGAACGAGAGAGAGAGAAAGCACTCTGAGAGCCTGAAAGTGAGAGTCCCAGAAGGGCAAAAGCCCTCCTTTCCGGCTGACCCTCACTGGGCATGATGCTGCATGATATGGAATACTAATTGGCCATTTTGGCCCTCAGTGTTAAGTTCCACCACAAATCACAAGGGAGCAGCTATGCTCCCCCCTTATCCTGTTGTGCTTCTGCACACTGGCAAGAACACGGCAGCTGAAAAGTCCTTGAGACCTCAGTGCCAACCACAAATATCAGCGTGCTATCAACATTCTTCTCAGAGCGAGCTTCTGAGTAAAACCAAAACACGGAGCTCTTCTAGCTGCTAAAAAGAAGAGCTAACTCTGTCCCAGCTAAAACCAGGACAATACTAGAAGGAAGGTAGCAAAAACTTGATAATCTTTGGTGCTATCTTGTATTATAAGGATAGATTAAAAGGGTGCTAGTGTTGAAAGACAAAAATGTCCTTGAAACTGAAAATCTCCCTATCCCTTGTTCTGTTCACAGAAATGTGGTTGGCTGAATAAAGTTTGTATCTTAAGGTTACTACGCTGTGGGTCAGACAGCCTGGGTCTTAGTCCTTGTTCTGCACCTAAGTAACTCCATTCTCAGTGTCTTCCTGTGTGAATTAAAGATAATGGTGCTTTAAAAATATGGAGTGAGCAGGAGAGTACTCTGGAGAACTCCAACTGAGAGTGTTGGGAGAGAACAGATGTCTGGAGACCTTAATAATGAAATTGCTACTACGAAGTACTTTAAAGTGTGCAGAAGTAGCTCCTGGTGTGAGAAGTCCGTTCTGTAAACCTCTAACTTTAATTAAAAAGCAGAATGGTGTGCTGAGGTGACAATGTATGAATTCCCTCTTTAGAAGGGAAGACAATTAGAGAAGAGCAAGATCTATTGATAGAATTTATTGCTATTTTACTTGGCTTTTATTTATTTTTAGCCATACTGGAAACAAGCCAGTAATTAAACAATTGGAATAAACTGGTCTACTGAAAACTACTGTTGTTGAAGCAAGTTAAATTCCATCTTACTAAAAAAAAAAAAAAAGATTGTGCCTTTGACTTTGAAGTAGTTACAGTGATATGAAGGCGTCACATGTTCCTGCATGGCAGAAAATAGGTCTACTGTCTTACTATAGACTGTTAGGGTGTGTTGTGTATGTTTTCTGTTCTCAGTCGTGTAATTGATTTTTGAATAATTACATATATTTAACTGTGTCACACCACTTAATGAACACAGGACGAAGGTATAGTGTTGCTTTGTTGTGGATGAACTGTTCCTTGCTAGTCATGGCTTCGGAAAGCCTTATGGGTGATGAGATACTTGCTCTGTAAACCTACTGGTTGTCCCAAAGCTTACTTTTTTTATGCTTTGTTTCATTAATGTGGTGTATAGTAATGGTCTCTTGCTTTACAATTTCAGGGAAGAACTTGACATTGATCTGAAGGATATTTACTACAAAATTCGATGTGTCTTGATGCCTATGCCATCTCTTGGGTTTAATAGGCAGGTAGTGAGAGACAATCCAGACTTTTGGGGTCCTCTGGCAGTCGTCCTCTTCTTCTCGATGATTTCATTATATGGACAATTTAAGGTAGGTATAAGCCTTCTACCTAAAAAGAAATCTAAACTAAATTTGGGGACATGATTGCTAAGCAATTTGCCTCCTTAAGCAGGTAGAAAGTCTTTTTCTCACATACTAATGCAGGGCATTTCAAATGCTGTTTCTCAAGGTAAGGCAGCAGTAAGAAAGGTATTAAATAGCCCACGGACAATTTAATCATGACGAAATGACAGGTTTGTTTTTATACAGTAGAACAAAGGAAAGATGTGGTTTCTAGAGGAAACAGATTGATGCTAATGGGTTTGTAGTCATATTAGTAAATCTTTCCTTTCTAATTGTGACCTTCTGTTAATGTGCTTTTTATTACTAAAAAATGTTAGAAGAACATTTGTTTGGATGCCATGAATTTTAATTTCCTGACAAATAAAGCTACTTGTTTAATTCATGCGATATCACCACTGTTATCTGGTGTATTTAATCTTCATTAGTGCCATTTGCTATTTTGTCCTCCCTGCCCAATTGCAATCAAATAACTTTCCTCTGATCAATAAACTTTTTCCATACTTCCTTTTGAACTCTAGGGTGAATGGCTATTCAGAAGCATTGTGCAGATTTAATTGGCCTTCATAAACACCATTAGCTTTTTTTCTTTATGCTCAAATTGAAATAGAGAAGTGGTATAATTTATAGTCACAATTTGAATGTGAGCCCAGGTGATCCTGCTTCAGAAGTCTTTATGGCTACATGTGTAGTCACAGTTGTCTTAAATACAACGTAGTATAGCAGTAAGCCATATGTAAAGTAGCAGGAGGTGCTTATGCAAGGATTTTTGTGAGTGGTGAGATAAAATTATTCCCTTTGCAACCTCTGGCTTCTATATGGTGTACCAAATGCAGACTAAGAGTTCACTCTCAATATCTTGTTTCTATGAGACTTGGAGTGAGTAGACTAAACCACTGTACTATTCAAGACTTCTAGGTGGACCACTTAGCTGTCTCCTAGGCAAAGCAAGGACAATTCCTTGATCCCATGACAGATAAACTACCTTCTGCAGTTTGTGTACGTGAACAGTAGGCCTGATGTTTCTTAGGAACAGTGGATTTACCATACCGATGTAAGAATGCTGTGTATGTGTGAAGAGGAAAAGCTAGTAGGTAGCAACAGGATGACTGGCAGCAGCTAGGCTAGATGAACCAAATGGTGGGCTGTAAGCTGGAGAGATACGTATTCCTGCTCTAAGACTTTCATATGGTTCTCTTTTAGACAGTGGAGGAAAGCAAGAAGTTATAGGAGGCCACGTGCTATTTTCACAAATAGCATAAACGTGTTACATTTATCTAGGTTTTTTTTTAAGTGGTGCTGTGATTTTTATCTGTTTTTCCCCTATTTGAGTCTTCTGAGAGTCTGGAACTTTTAATTAAGGAAAATATTAAATTGAGTACCAACTTAATTTTTAAGTTCAGCCATTGTACGTTTGGAAATACAGAGGCTGGACTGGTATTGTTATTTTCTTCTGAAAAGGTATTTCAGAAAGGAGAGCTTTATTTCTAATCCTCCCAGTGGCTCAACACCAAGAATAGCCAAGTTACTTTGGAGGTTCTCTTAAGCCAGAAAATGATTTTAAGATTTCCTCTTCAGTTTAAGAGCAGAGCAATGAAAGAAGCAAGAAAAAACGACGATAGACTTTGTCCCAGGAGTCTGGAGCTGTTTATTAAGTTGTAATCATCATCAAGTTCCTACTGAGAGTTAATCCTATGTCTTCTTCTGAGCGTTCTGTTTGAGTAAAGAATAAAGTGGCATCTTTATGCATGAAAGAAGCAGAATTCCAACTGCTTGTATTCCTTGGGCTGATTTTTAAAAACTGCGCCCACATAGGTGAGATGTGAAGACATGTAGCTAGGGTGGTCTTAGCTTTAGCTTTAACAAAACTCTTCCTACTCTGCTACAGTATTACAATACTTACCAAACACATTGCATGTGCATTCCATGTTCACCAACCCTACCATTAATGGAGTTCTCTAAATGTAACCTCTGAATTTGATTCTCAAGTTGCATTGTGATACTAAGTAAAACTATTCTTGCTGCAATTCACAGTTCCGTTTTGCATAATAAAATCCTTGACTGCAGTGAAAATGATGAATAGAAATTAGTTTTGCTTTCTCACAATGAAAATGATTAATATGAATGAATTGTTCTTTCTCTCTTAAGGTCGTTTCTTGGATTATAACTATTTGGATATTTGGATCCTTGACAATTTTTTTACTGGCTAGGGTTCTTGGAGGAGAAGTAAGTACCTGTATGTGAAAAGGATGTAGAGGGAGGTAATGTAAAATCTCTTGGTTACATTTTTCAGTAGTGGTTGGGTTTCCTTGGTGCTTGGCTTTGCACCTTGTAGCCAACTAAGAATGGATGCAGTTAGTAAGCGTAACATCTACACTTCAGGTTCTTGGCCTTCAAAATAAAATCTAAAATACAGAGATGGTCAGCTAATCTTTGTGTGATGGATGGTGTGCTGGATGTGAAATCTGGAAATTTGTACTATGAGTTCCGGAAATTCTAACAGGTGCCTGTGATCCAGAACTGAAGTCCATTCTTGAGGGACAAGTGCTTTCAGTTTTTTGGTTACTGAGCTAAACAGGACCCTTTCTCTCCTCCTCTGCACTGCTCTTGCACTGTCCTTTTTTTTTTTTTGATGGGGCTATCAACAGTTGTATAATGTCCTTGTGGGTAGAGCACCTGCCAGTGTTTGTTTTCATCCTTGGCCTGATGCAGTTCAAACCCATTAAAGGATGAAAGTCAGTGCGTGTTCTTCAACTGCAAAGCCAATCGAAGTTCTGGCCTACATCCCTCCCTCCAGCTGCTTGCACCAGCAGGGTTGCAGTAGCTGTTTGAGCTGTTTACAGATCGAGTCACTAAATGATTCAGGTGTAAACACCAAAAAACGACTTACAGCAAGGCCCACAGACAGCTACAGCAGAACTGTCAGGAGGGTAGAAACTTCTTAAAATGGCTGTGCAGCATAAAATGCATTGAACTGTGTCGTGAAGAACTAAATATTCAGTGATACTTGATTTTTATATTCTTACTACGCATTTTGCATTAATGATTAACTAGTGTTGTAGACTTCCTACATTATTTGCACTTACTTTAATTTTTTAGATTTTCCTTTCGATCATAATTAATTGCTAGAGTCTTCTTGTATGAACACTGTTTTGAAAGAAAAAGCTTTTATTAATGTGATTGCTTGGTATTTCTGTATACCAGCATAATCTAGGTGCCCTTAAATCAATCTTTTTTGTGGCTCCAAATGTGAAATTATCAGAATGTGTAAACTGGGGAGAAAGTATAGGTCTGCACAGTTTACTGTAAAGGGTCAATGGCCACCAGAGATTGTTTGCAACAATCTTGTCACTTGTCTCAACACTATTTTTCCTGTTAAATTCAAGGAGCCTAGCTGGGCCCAGGAACACTTCAAACATTAGTAGGGGAAAATCAGACACTTTAATCTGCACGAGGCTAAAACCAGTTACGGAAATACTTTGAAAAAATCTATTTAAGATAATAATAATAAATTTAAACTGCAAATCAGAAGATGTCTGTGCTTTAGAGGGTTCAAGTTTTAAGTCTTCCACTGACACCAAAATCATCCATCTACTTTAGGTATTTATATATAATGGCTATGGGTATATTAATGCAGAAAATATCTTTGCTGCTTGTGACAGCCAGGACTGCAGCTGGTGGCTGAGAGGTCTGTTGTAGTTCTGTGCTCCTGGGTGTCGTGTATGCAGTCCATGGAGGGTGGCAGTTGCGAACTACTTAAGGCAGAACATGAAAACATGAGGGGTGGGTGGAATTACATATTTAACCTGTGTAAATACTTCCCTCGGAAGTGACAAAATTGTCATTTACAGTGTTAAAAAAAAAAGAGACAACGTGTTTCTAAGAGAACTGAATTATTCATTATAAAATTTTAGTGTAGCATACAAAACCAATTTTCATACTAGCAAGCTTCTTTTAGCTGAAATTTTCTGAATACCTAACATTATCATCACTATTCATACTGTTATAATAAGATCAAATTGCATTTCATGACAAAGATTGAGTGCTACAAAGCTTGTTTTTGTGTGCTTGAAAATTTCAGGTTGCTTATGGCCAAGTTCTTGGTGTGATAGGATACTCCCTACTTCCTCTCATTGTCATAGCACCTGTACTTCTGGTGGTTGGATCATTTGAAGTTGTTTCTACCCTAATAAAAGTAAGTTCAGTGTCATCTGTTGAGAATTGTTTACAGCTATTTTTAAGTCATTTTCCTAACACTTTAAGGATTAATCTGTTCAGGACAACATAACAATGTGTCAAAACATTCAGAACTACAGCGTGAGCTCTGTGGTCCTTCTGGTTAGCATGGTGGACAAGACTGTTAAGGAGTTCTGTTTTAAACGTTTCTTTTGATTACTTGGGGACCTACAGTGCTGTTGCTATAACACTACCTGTTGTTATCAGGTTAGCTTCTGTTCAAGTATTTTCCTGTGCTGTAATAGTTGCATTAAAAATAAATAGGATTATCAGTTTGAGAAGAGGATGCATAATTAAACCTCAGAATGAAGAACCCGAAAGTAAGCTGTTCTGTCCCTTCCCCCATAATCCAGTTTATTTTTAGTTACTGCAGCATGAGTATGACATTAGTCATTGTTCTGAGACCTTCCCATAGTGGTAGCAGCACAAAGCTCTCAATGCTCTTTGCAGAGAAGGTAAGTATTGTTCCCATTTTACCGATGTGGAATATAAGGCACAAAGCAAGAATAACTTGCCTGATACCACCCGTTGTTGGATGTCTTTTATGAAACTAGCAACGTTCCCAATAGATCCCAGAACTACATAACGTTCTTGAAGACTTCCAGTACTTCTTAAAACACTTCTAGGTAGCCTTTGAAGTTATTGCTGAACTTGTGGAAAGATTGACTGAGAAGATTCTGTAACTGGCTAAGCTGTGTGCTTTTTGAGTTCTTGTTCCATTGATTCGATGAATTTCTGTCCTTTTAGCTCACTGGTAAATAGTATAACTGAAGTACAACTAAAGCGTATGATAAATGACAAAATTGTTGTGATTGTGATTTGATAACTTGTAATTACTATGAAGTGATAGAGTCAGAAGGCAAATCATTACCTTCCCAGTTAACTAACATGTAACTTGAAAACAAATAGATGTTGATGAAACCTGTGCTACTTGATTACTGCTCACAGCCTGACGTTACTGCAGGGCGCGTCTGTGCAAGGTTCGTACCTTTGCATCCTTAGTGTGGAAATGCAGGACAAGCCCCACATGGCCAAAACTACTTATGCTGTGACAAGTACTGCTTCTTACAGCGTGAGAGCTCTGTGCCTGGGGAAATATTTCACAGCCCTAAAGTTGGGGAACTTACAGTGAATTAATGACATTCTGGTCAGTTCTTTTCTAGTTGTAATCAGCAAAGTAAACTATGCAAGTAATGCGCTTCTATTGTTTTAATTGCTGCAATTTTCCTAATACATCTTGGAGAATTCAGCATGATTGTCCTTCTTGACCATCCCTGCGGCCCTTGGTTAGGCAGCAAAAACAGAAGTGTGCAATCACATGCAAATTTTTTTTTTCTTTTACAGTGGCAGTTGAATGGGCCACATAGTCCCTCAAGGGACTTCAGCTCCTCTGTCAGAACCGTGGAAAAAATTCTTTGCTGGGGTTCTATTATGTCTGCCCTCTTTGGTCTTGTGTTTTGCAGGAGATTACAGTGGTTTTGCATGCCACCTAGTTTTAAGTACTTTTCTTTATTGATATGCTGCTAGAAGATAATAATGTCTGATTACTTTTTGCTATAGCCTTGTTAGTTTGAGTTTTGAGTCAAGTTCACTGAGCTCAAGACATTTTTGTTAGAAGTATGCATGCTAACTTCATATAACATAGTGGATATTCATAGGTAATGGGTTTTATCCGTCTTTTAAACTGTTTCTTTCTTAACTTAGTAAGCAAAATAGTTTTTGATACAGATTGTAGTTTGGCAGGCTTCACATCGCACTTGAAAGGAACAGGAATGTGGGATTCAGTTACCTTGAGGTGGGGGCACCATAATTAAAGAAAAGCTTATGAGCCAGATGAATCCTGAAATATAAAAAAATGGTCATTTAACCCTCTGGTTTATATTGTAGGAGGGAGAGTCAAGTATAGTCACTTTTTTTGCTTAGAAAAAGGGAGAGGTTAGTAGTTGGGGACAGTCAAGGTAGAAAGAAAAGTTATTAATCCAGTGAAGTTTCAAATTATTGGTGTATGTAAGCTTACAGCTTGCTTTATGGTATCTGTGTCTAACATTAGAAAAAACTTACTGTAGATCCTTAGCTGCTCACTTCAGGAAAAATGTCTCAAATGAAAATAACATGCCTATTTGTTAAATATTTCTCTAAACTTAAATGAAAATGCATAGTATATTCTTTTTGTGTGTGGAGTTCTCCCCCTTCCCCCCGCCCACAATTCCTTTTTTAGGCATTTCCTATTATATTGAGAGAAGAACTGATTTTTTTTATCTTGGTATTTGGAGAGATTTTCTTGTGGTGTCAGCTAAGACTGTTCCTCTTCTTTTTCAGTTGTTTGGAGTCTTTTGGGCTGCATACAGTGCTGCATCATTACTAGTTGGAGAAGAATTCAAGACCAAGAAACCCCTTCTAATTTATCCAATCTTTTTATTATACATTTATTTCCTGTCCTTGTACACTGGGGTGTGATCTAGTGCAAGATGTGGCCAGAAACCGTATTTTTTTCACTTGCAGACTGATAATACATAAGATTAAGGAGGCTGGAGATAATACAAGTGACTGTTTTGTATCCAGTTGTCAAGATGTTTTAAGATCGAAGACCATATTTGTGTATATTATTTAATGAAGCAATTGTAGCTATATAGATTTGTATCAAAGTTCTAGGTTTGTTTAAACTCTTCAGATTTTAATGAACAAAGTAAAAGAACCTTGTGTTTTATAAGGAAGTGTAGCAAAAACACAACTCGATACCTGTGCCAAAAGCACTAGGACCAGATTACTATATTCGAGGAGAAAAGTGAGAAGTTAGCTATAACAGTCTCAAAGTGCAATTTTTCTTTTGAGCTTAAACACAGCTGGCTTTTTTGGCACAGCAGATTCTGTAGATAATATATATTTATGAAACAGTCCTGATTGTTCACAGAATAGTCTGTATAATCAAGACATTAAGATACTACTTTTAATTTAGTGCCTCAATTACTTTGATTTGGCTATTGAGTTTTTATAAATTCCAATTTGTTTTCAAAACATGTATATACTGTGTATTTTGTATCTATGGCTTGTGTGTAGCGTAAAAACTCCTTGGTTAAGGATGTATATTGGGTTTTTGAAAATTGGAGATACAAGTATTTGAAGTCTTCATTTACTATCTCTGACCAAAGGAGCAAAATACTTACTGTGTGACATAATTAAATAAAAAGCATTTTAGAGAATCAAATTATTTTACTTAAAAGTATAAATTTACAGAGAAACGGGTGAACACCTTTCTCAACGGTAGTGCTGGCTTAATGTTGGAGAAAAAAGATGATCTATCAAATTTGTGTGATCTTTAAACAATGTTATTTTATGATGACAAAATAAAAATAATGCTTCCCTATTTATGTTTTACAACATCTTGCTCTGTCTTGCTTTTAATAGCATGATATTTAACACGCATCCTTTTTTTTTTTTTTTTCCCCAGTGCTATTAATCCCTGGTAGATGGAAATAAAAAAGGTTTGCAAGGCCAGGTTCTCCCTCCACTAAGTAAGGCAGAATTACAGTCTTAGTAACAAGCAGTGTCTTGCTAACTTTCACTGTCCAAGGATTATGTAATAACGTGATGACATGTTAAATATTTCCTGTGTACTGTGTTGATTGCTTATGTAATGGTCCGTATGGTCATGTTTCTTCACGAGGGAAGTCCACTGAAGTTCGCTTTGCATGGTACTAACTTAGGCATTTGCAATCTTCAGTATTTAGTATTGCCAAATAGATCTTAAGAAACTTAAATTTTCTGGTAACAGAAAAAAGCATTCCTCCTTCCTTTTTTTTTTTTTAATGCTGCAAATAAAAATGAACCTTGGCAAGATAATGGCAAGGGCTGTCTTTGATCCCTGATGGAATTATTTCCTTATCAGCAGTGTAGTTTTTCAGCTTTTTAGACTGCAATTTGCCAATTTAGTAACTTATTTTACCACTCATTACTGATGCAAAATATATATTTAAGTTCCAGCTCTAGCACAAACCTTTAGTTTATTCAGTCTGCTTTGCTTGTGTTGGTTTTAAATGGAACTACTTAAGGTTGATGCTGGACATAAATTGTAATGTAATACTCTAGCTCCTAATACCTTAAAGGAGAAAAACTGATAGAGTGATCGACTTTTCACCTAATTTTTGACTTCTGCAGAAGTTCTGATGGAATTACTGCAGAGTTGTACTAGTTGTACTAAACCAATTACACCAGCAGCTTAGTACTTATCTGCAAGTGTTTTGTGAGCGTTCATACCACGTTGTAAAAAAAAAAAAACAAACAAGCAGCATGTTAGCTTTGGAGTCTTGCATTATAATCTAGTCTTATCTTTTTCATGACATTTCTTTTTTAACAGGAATATCCAGCTAGTATTAGAAGAGTCAATCCAGACCCTGTGAATAGATGTGTAACATCACCACAAACATTTAGGTTACTAGGCTGTCAGAGAGCTTTAAGCTTAGTTTCTGTTTGCATAGCGGTTCATTAGATGTCCATAATGGATCCTGTGCATCTGAAATGACTATGAGTATTCAAAGGATGCAAGAATGTTCTATTTAATCTCCAAACATCTTGATCTCCTCTATACTAATGTTCTGTGAAATTTATAGTTGCAATTTTAACTGTTCCTTTCCACAGACGTGGCTCATGTGTAATATGCAATGTAGCTATGCACTTAACATAGTACATATTTTGTACACAATTGCAGATTTGCACCTTTTAATCTTAGTGTCTCTAGGGTCACCTTTTGCATATGCTGTGCAAGAAATATGTACAGACAGCTTTCAAATGGTTCTGATAGTTTGTAATAACTTTGCATTCAACAAACTCGTATTTTTAGATGAGGTATGTGTGTAAATACAAGATGTATTTTATAAAAACTTTGAATTAAACTTGTTTACAGAATGTATGAAGCTCATTTATATTTACTGAATTAAGACACATCTATATTCCTATACATGTCATGAATCTCAAGCTTTGAGGCTATAAACAAGTTTTCGTGGTAATATATTTACTACTACTATCTGCAAAACTGGAAACTTAGAGCACATCCATCTACCAAAAAGTTCCCTTTCCAAGATGCATCATTACAAGGTAGACACATGGGTGTCATACCTCAACGAGACATGCTCTTTGAACAATCTTGTGTATGGAGGAGCTAGATGTGTACATGTGTACTTGTCTTTCTCCCTCTTCTACCCATCAGACATACTCTGTTGTTTATCAGAAGAATTATACCTGCTTGAAAAGTCTATGAAATCATTTGCTTTGATGTGGAGACAACATATGACTTGAAATCTGCTTTGTCACTACCCTTATTGGTCTTTTAATGTTTTGCCTGAAGTGAAACAAGCTTGAAAGCTGCTTATTTTGCCCTCAGGGAAATGTTTATTAGCCTGGGTGGCATGCATACCCGTGTCAGTGTGTGTGTTGTTTTTTCTTTACACAGACACTGTATTTCTTAAATCATTTTCCTGCTACAGCAGCCTGTGTTAATTGGGTCCTAATAAAAATATTCTGTAGGAAAAACACATTATATTTGAAACTTCATTGTATTTAAGACCATCGGTAGCCTAAAAGCTTTTTCAAATATTTTAGCAGAACGTCCTACTTAGGTAAAATAATGTCTACAGGTAAATCTTGGCTATACAAACTGCTGTTACTGCAGTGGGTGAAAAGGGAAAAAGCTCAACACTACAAAAGGGTTTATTATACTTATCTCATTTTTGCAGCATGGCGAATACTGCTTGAGAACAAAACGCTTTTATGGGTAGAATGACTCCGTCTCTACTTTTAGGGATAAAAACAAACACAAAACGAGAGAATTCAGGGTGGAACCACTGTCTGTGTTTACGCACGGACGCACCCCCGTCCGCACGCAGAGGCAGAACCCCCCCTGCCGCCCGCCGGCGGGCCGGGACACCCCGCTCCAGGGCGGAGTTCATTGGGAAAGCAGGCTGTAGCAGACCAGCACTGTGACTTCTTCGCTTGGAAACAAAGCAGGAAGCAGCTTACATAGGGGCCTTCTCCTATCACTCTCCAAGTGCAAAAAGAAAACCAGTCTCGGAGTTAAGAGTACGAAAAATAAACGCCCAGTCCGGCAAAGGCGCTCGCCTCGTTTACGACCCGGATTTTGTCCGGAGTAACGACA